TACATGCATTATCTTTGTTATTAAATTACGCCAATACAAACATGAGAAAACTGGCGTCTTTCTCACTGCAAGGCTACCCCATTACACACAGTGAGATCAGCAATGGGAAATGACAGGCCTAATTCTATGAAAATATCTCAATGCCATCATCACCCAGCTGCAAATACTAAATATAGCTATGAATATATTAATGCCAAAGCCCCGTTTCACCAGAGTATGCACAAAACCTCTAGTACGTCATCCGCACCTAGCTAAACCATTGCACGTACCTAGATCCTAATGCAATCAATAGATAGCTATCTGAGCATCGGGCACATTGTATCTGTTGTAAAAGCCTGGGACACACTTTGGAGGGGATTTATTAAAACTGGAGAATTTGATGCAGTTGTACATAGTAATCAAACAGCATCTAACTTCAGATCGTTCAATTAAAGTGTTACTAAACCCACAACAGTAAAATCAGTCTGTATATGCAGTAAAGAATGCTTGTTATACTCACTGTGGTACATAAAAAAAAGGCTGTTTGATCTTGTCTTCTCTTATCCTCCCCTTCTTCCAGTGCCCCCCTCTTATCTCCTGATAAGACATATTGTGTGGAGTCAATCAGTTTGGTGTGTATTGCTAGAGAGTTTTTACTTCTTTGGAGAGTGCAAGTGATTATCACAGGGCCAATCAGCACTGTCCAGACAGAGATCAGGGGTTCTGCATCCTCCTAGAGCAAAATGAAATCTCCTTCTACAAGCTTTAACATGTGTTCGGCTGGATACTGATAGAAATATAATTTTTCTCATTTTGTCTCTCATAGTTAAGGTCTACCTATGATGCCAATTACAGGCCTCTCTCATCTTTTTAGGTAGGAGAACTTGCACGATTGGTGGCTGACTAAATAATTTTTTGCCCCACTGTACCTGCTGATGAGAAAAGGTATTTAGCAGTTTATATTTACTAAACTAATTGCATTTCTGTGTATTTTGAGAGACCAGATAGAGTGAATATAGGGTCCTGGGCGTGGTAATACTTTAAGTTTTGACAAGTCAGGCCATAGACGAGTCAAAAAACGAATGAAATTTGGGTCAATCATCAACTCGTTCGTTTTTCGCACCATTAGTGTGCCATCTGCGACACATGATTTTCATGCTGCAATCGAAAGTGACTGATCCAACATTCTGGGCTTTTTTTTAGAAAATCAAAACAATTGATGGCACAATCGTATGAGCTGTTTTCATTTTTCGGCTCGTCTATGGCTTGCCTAAAACCTAGAAGTTGATTGGTTGCTATGCACAGCTGCACAAGATTCTGTGTGCACTAGTTTTATAGCTATTTACACTTTTTTATAATTTGTACATAGTGACAAAGTTAAGTGACATTAAGCTGTCTCAGAACTCTCAGTAGCTGAAAATCATACCACAATGCCAGTATTGCCATTTAAGGCATACACAATACCTATCAACAAACTAGTGACAGAAATATATCATTATAAATTCCAATATCAACCAGGAATAAGATTCAAATTTAGGGCCATGGTGGGATTGAGGTGAACCCAGCCTAGTCATGGACCCGCCAAACTAATGTCCCTCCTGATTTCATTGTAATGATAATGCACTACAGGGGCCTTGGAACTTTGGTTATCTGGCTTAGAAGGGCCAATAGTGGGTGCTTTCTTATGAGCTAGATTCCTCACTATATCCTATACCAGGGTTTCTAAACCAGGGTTCTATGGAACCCTAGGGTTCCTCCAGAGGTTGCTAGGGTTTTTTGAACAGTGAGCAATATCTGCCTCTCAGATAAGTTCCTGCAGACACCATTGATATTTTTAGTTATCTATAAGGGGGTAATTCATCTCAATGACCACAAGTGTAAGGAACATTCTTCCCACTGACCATCACACGAAGGTATCATGAGCTGTAGATACAGTAATTTTTATCAGGGATTCCCCGAGACCAAAACGTAATTTCAAGGGTTCCTCTATGTTGAGAAGGTTGAGAAAGGCTGCCCTATACTATCCCTTACCACAGATCAGTGAGGGATTCTTGAAGAACTACAAGGATCTTCTCATTCCATGTATGCTGAAAGTCTTTATGTTGGTATATGCCAAGACCCCATTCCCAACCCAATCTTTAGAGGCTCATGTTTCCCTTATTCCAAAACAAGAAAAAAAAAACATTCTGTGCTGCTTAGTGTATTCTGACAGTGAAGGAAATGAAATCCATTCCAGTAACCCACTCTAAAGCTGGGCATGCATGGGTCAATTTTTTTTTCAATCATTCAGCAGACTGATAAAAAAATACTGATTGGTGTTCCCCATCCACACAAGCGAGGTGGATAGAGAAATCCTCCCCGCTGTGTTATTGTATTGTGACAGGGACTTCTCTATCCACCTCGCTTGTGTGGTTGAAAAAAAGTGACCCATGCATGCCCAACTTTAGAGTGAGTTATTGAGATGGATTGTATTTCCTGTATGGAACAACCCCTGGCCTAAGAAAAAGATAAACAAGAATCCTTTACCCAGATTTGGGTTGCTTTGACTATCCTCTGAAACTCTTAGGAGTTCAATAACCAACTATCAGCCTCTTAGATTTCTGTCTTCTATTCATCTACATGGTGATGGTCAGGGGGAGGCCTACAGCTTTCTGGAGAGAGTGGAAGTGGATTAGAACATTTGTTTTTATTGGTGCCTGTGTCTCAGTGCCTGGAGAAGGTTATTTAGAGCCCAGGACGAACAGGCCCAATTGCACCCCCCACCCCCAAAGATGTATGAGCATTATGTGTCCGCAAAAATCCCCTCCCTCCCAAAAAGAAGTCGAGCACTAATCTGCATGCTTCCCCCCTATGCATATATTCCCCTCCTCCCAGTACAAATCTGCCCCTCTACTGAAATCCCCCATCCCAGCACAAATATTTGCCCCCCCCAGCTCAAATCCCCTCTTTCTCCAAATGCCCTCAGCACAAACCCCTCAAAAAAGCATTTTCCCCCTCCTAGCATAAATCCTGTACCTCTCAAATTTCCCCTCCAAGCACCAATCCTCCTCCTACTCCAAATCTCCCCCTCCCAGCTCCAATTTCTCTCCCACAATTCTCCCGACTAGCACAACCCCCCCACCCCAAATTTCACCTCTTAGCACAGATACCCCCTAATCATCCCTTCTAGCACAAATCCCCCCCCAAAAAAAATTCCCTCCCCCCTGCCATATCACTTTTTCTAGCACAAACCCTCTAAATCCCACCTCCGAACACAAATCCTCTTCCCCCCTCCAAACACAAATTCCTCAAATCACCACTCCTAGTGCACTTTTTGCCTTCCTCTGGATCAACTGTCGGTGTAGGATTATACTTTTTTTTTTTAATGGTTTTACTGGATTGACTTTTGTCCTTTTTCAGCCAGACTAACTATGTAACCTCCCCAGATTTCCCCTCCTAGAACAATTCTTATCCCCTGCCAGACCCCCAAATTCCCCCTCCAAACACAAATCCCCTCTGTCCATCTCCTCATGGTGGCCCCTCACCTCACATAATACCACAGTGCCCAGGACAGCTGCCCCTCCTGCCCACTCCTTGTCCAGGCCCTTCTGTACCCCCATTACACTACTCACACTATTTGTCCTGCTTACTGTCATCTCCAAAGTGAAAGAAAATCCTGAGTTGTTGCCAGAAAAGGAATAGAGGGAAAATCTTCCAATACGGTTATGGCACAAGAAGTGAAAAGAAATCTTCCTAATGGGACATGGCAAAAAATAATAACTGACAGGGATTATAGTACCCTCACTTACTCCAAAATGAAAAAAAAAAGTTTTGCTTTTAGGGTGCATTCAAAGTTTTGCATTTAGGGTTCCCATTATAAGCTATGGGAGGCAGTCCTGTTGACAGCATTGGGAGGCTGCCTGTTCCCACAGCTAATCGATGTTACTCAAATGTACTCGTTCATGCAATGATCACATGCACGTGACTGGTCTAGGATTCTTTTTTTTTTTTTTTAAATATGCCTGCCTTATGATATCTTTCCTATCAATAACATTTGCAATGAGTCTCCTTTTTACCAGCAAGACCAGTGAAATACCAGACAGGTGGTAACCCTATGTGTACCTATGGCGGAAGGAGGGTTGTGGCCATTGAAGTACTTAGCATGTAAAGTGTGCTACTGTTGTCATTTGCAGCAGACTGTAGACTAAAACAGTTGGAGTGAGCAGGCTGTAGACCGGCTCATCAGGAGGTACCAGCAATGATTCTAATTGTAGTAGTATTGTTAATGTTACAAATAAATTATTTTTACTGTATAATTTGATATTACATATATTTATTAAGAACACTATGTTTGTAAATATTATACAGAGAAAGAAAAAAGTTAACATCAGTGTGGACCGTACTTTTTATATCCTTCACTTCCCATATCAGAGATTGCAATGAGTTGGTCATCATGCTTTTTGGCTTAACCACTTGCCCTCCAGTGGATTTACCCCCCCCCCCCCTCCCTTCCTGACCAGGCCATTTTTTTTGCCATACTGCGCTGCATTATTTTAACTGACAATTGTGCTGTCATGTAACACTGTACATAAGTGAAATTTATGTCATTTTTGTTTTTCTAAAAACTGGAGCTTTTTTTCGGTGGAATTTGATCACCTCTGTGGTTTTTATTTTTTGCGCTATAAGCAAAAAAAGACCCACAATTTTGAATAACAAATATTTTAGATTTTTTTGCTATAAAACATATCCAGTATAAAAAAATTAAAAAAAATAACATTTATTCATAAATTTAGGTTAAAATGTATTCTGCTACGTCCTTTCTAAAAAACAAATCCCAATATATGTAAAGTAATTGGTTTACGTGAAAGTTATAGATTAGATTGTACGCCCCTTGAGGGTTAGGGACTGATGTGAATGTACAATATATATGTAAAGCTCTGTGTAAACTGACGGCTCTATATAAGTATCTGAAATAAAATAAATAATAATACAAAGTTTTAATAATAATAAAAAATAATAAAGTAATGGCGGCGATCAGTGACTTATAGCGGGACTGCGGCAGGCATTCTGACACTGGGGGGGAACTGACTAACTGTCACTGACATCCCCAGTGACACTAATACAGTGATCAGTGCTAATAAAAAGCACTGACACTGTACTAATGGCACTGGGCAGGAAGGGGTTAACATCTGGGGTGATCAAAGGGTTAATTGTGTACTGTGTACTTTTTAATGTGTGCTGTGTGTGTGCTTTACTGTGTAAGCATGCTGCTTTGTATTGCTCTGCTGTACGTGTCTTTGCTAAAAAAAAATCCCACTAAGTCTATATTAATTGGTTTACGTGAAAGTTTTAGCGTCTACAAATGACGGTATATATACTGGAATTTTTTTTTTTTCTATACTAGTAATGGCGGCGATCAGCGACTTATAGCGGGACCGTGGCGGGCATTCTGACACTGGGGGGGGAACTGACTAACTGCCACTGACATCCCCAGGGACACTAATACAGTGATCAGTGCTAATAAAAAGCACTGACACTGTACTAATGACACTGGGCAGGAAGGGGTTAACATCTGGGACGATCAAAGGATTAACTGTGTGCTGTGTGTGTTTTACATTATGTGCTGTGTTGTGTTTTACTAGGGAAACATGCTGTGCAGAGAAATACAAAGCAGCATGTCCTTGCTGACAGGAGAGAGACCTGTGTTTTTTACACACAGGTCACTCCCCTGCCAGCTCTGCCGATGATCACCGAGTCCAGGCCGAGAATCCCCATATGAGACCCGGTGATTGACACGTGCAGCAGCCAATAGCGGTGCGGGTAGGGCTCCCTTCCCGAAAATGCAAATCACGTCTATATAGGTGGCTTTGCGCATCTTTGCCGCCTTGTAGCAGTACTTCTGCTATAGGGTGGGGGGAAAGGTTAAAGTGGTTGTAAATGCTTGATTTTCTTTTTAATTAAAATAACAGACATGTTATACTTACCTGCCTTTAGACCCACTTCAACTGCAGTGGAGAAAGAAAAGGTCACAGACTTAACTGTGCCGGATGGCTGAGATGTATGAATCATACAAATGGCTGAACAGAATGATGGATTGTTTGGCAAAAAACGGTTTGCATACATTTATTTCAGTAGTGCATTGAGCTGTTTTCCTGGAGTTGAGCTTTAATAAGACTTTTTTTTGTTTGGACTAGATTTAGTAAATCAATCCAAAAGCAATGATAATGTACAATGCATCGTAATCCATAGTAACCACTTAGGTTACATTTTTCTATAGTCAGTTAAAGATGATTTATAATTGGTTACCATGTGTTGCTGTATATACTTTGTAGCAATAGATAAATGGATTTTATGGAAAATATAATCCCTATATACTGAATATATGCAACCAGACAAATTATTCCAGGATTATCCTTTAAATTTCCAGACAGTAGCAGGCCCTGAATACAAATGTGGTTATATGCGTCAGTCCAGAAAATAAAAGCCTTTAGTATGACCAGATTGTGAAATTCAAAGAATAGTACAAAAAAAAAAAAACACCCAACACTCAATTTAGCTTTACATAACCAACCAACCAACAAAATAACATATATACTGTTTTTTATATTTACATATAAAGGTTTTTGTGGTCTGCCACAGTTTATTTACTGCTATAAATGTCTCAAACAAAACTTTTTTTGTAGTAGTCAGCATCAGGCACGGATTCAGCAAGCAACCTTTTGGGTTGAACCAGCCAGGCCACACTCTGCCCTCTTTGAAAAGCGCTGTCTTCAACTTGATCCCACTTGCCGCTGACTCTTCGCTCCATTGACCGGTTGGGTGGCCTCCCTGCCGGGCTGTTGTACTCTTGCAAGTTCTTGAATATTATTATTTATTATTATTATACAGGATTTATATAGCACCAACAGTTTGCTCAGCGCTTTACAATATAACAGGAGACAATACACCAACGATACAGTTCAATACAAGAGGGTTAGGAGGGCCCTGTTCCTTGGAGCTTACAATCTAAGAGGGAGGGGCTGGTGGTACAAAAGGTAGTAACTGTGGGGGATGGACTGGTAGGAGGAGTAGAAGATTCCATTATTAGCTGAGGGCAGGATAGGCTTCCCTGAAGAGATAGGTTTTCAGAAATAGCCTAAAAGTGAACAGAGTAGGCGATAGTCTGATAAATTGGGGTAGAGAGTTTCAGAGGTTGGGGGAAGCTCTAGAGAAGTCCTGGAGACAACCATGGGAGGAGGAGACAAGGGAGCTAGAGAGCAGGAGGTCCTGCGAGTAGTGGAGAGGACGGTTTGGGTGATATTTGGAGACAAGATTGGTGTTGTAATTTGGGACAGAGTTATAAATGGCTTTATATGTTATTGCTAATGTTTTGAATTTTATCCGTTGGGCAATGGGAAGCCAATGGAGGGATTGGCAGAGAGGGGTGGCAGATACAGAACGATTAGTAAGGTCGATGAGTCTGGCAGCAGCATTCATGATAGACTGAAGAGGGGATAGCCTGCGATTAGGTAGGCCAATGAGGAGGGAGTTACAATAGTCAAGGCGAGAGATAACAAGGGAGTGAATAAGTTGCTCAATAGTTTCCGAGGTTAAGAATGGACGTATCTTGAAGATGTTGAATACATCGGTTACTGCACTCAGAGCCTCTGTATCTGTCCCCACCAGGGGAGGACTGACCATTTGGAAATTTGGGCACTGCCCGAGGGCTTGGGGTCAGTAGGGGGCCCCATGAGATGCCCCTGGTACCTTCTTCATAGGCTTTTTTGAGTTTGGGCAAGGACACAGGGCCCCATGATCCCCTATTGCCCGGGGACCCCATAAGTTTTCAGTCCGCCCCTGGTCCCCACACTGCACCTACCCAACAATCCAATCAAAGTAATTGGCAGCAGAAGAACTACTGCCCACCAGTATAGAAATAATACAAGCTTTATACAATAAGAGAGTAATAGCAGTACATACATCCAATGTACAAAGAGGTACCATCAGCAAAGGGCCCAATAAGAGCCCTGGTGGAATTATGCATATAGGTTGTATACCTGGGTGTATATATACAGTACAGTAGTTATCAAAACATGCCATCATGCAAAAAATATATCCTCTGATGCTCCAATTCAACATGGTGCACCACCAAGCCCCTGCATTGTAAAAAAAATTTGGATGTGACCCTTTTAATTTTTATACGAGCCTTGTCCATTGCCTTGGAGTCTTTCAAACCTGGGAAGAATCTCCATCTTCCTTTTTCCATTGGGGTCCCCCAAGGTTCTGTTCTTGGACCTCTCCTATTCTTGATCTACACCTCCTTCCTGGGTCAACCTTTCCTTAGCTTTCAATGGAATTTCTATGCTGATGACACCCATGTCTTTCCTACACCTCAGCTCCATCAATCTCCTCATGCATCCCTGACAGGTCATTTCAGAAGATATAACCTCTCTGCTGCAAATGTTAAACATAAGCTGAAAATTTGGTCTAAATTAACTCATGACATTACTAAAATCCTTCTTTGAGGAACACAACTCTCTGTTATCCTCATTTGTATAGCACAATACTAGACCAAAACTGAACTTGACCACATTGTGAAGGCAATGGCTGTACCAGACTTGCTTTTGTACTATTCGGCAGGGCAACGAAGGCATCTAGTCACCCTAAGGGCCACGCAGCAGTACGATTTGTCACTGATGTGTTCACCAGACCCTGCGGAAGAAAGATTGTTGTACTGGGCCACTGTGCACGGCCCTGGTATCATCTTATCAATCACAGCAATCACATGTCAGTTGTAAACAATGGCTGTCATTCAGAGCCATTGCTTACCATTGGGATCTCTGTGACTGTTTGCAGTGATCACATGGCACAGGGCCCAGTCAAAGCAGACCTGTTCCATGTGATAGCTGTGGCCAATCACAGTTATCACAATAGTAAGTGATGGCACATGAATGGCTGCCATTCAAAGTGTGAAAATGATTGCTTCTATAGTGATCATCCCTGTAATAAGCAATCATAGTGTAAAAAAAATCCTGATCACCTCTCCAGAGCAGTACAGTGTGGCTATGACATAGTAAAATTGTAGGAACAAAAATGTAAAACATGTTTTCTTATCCATGCTGCCATCAGTCCCTTTACCTGAACACTACCAGACAAGTCATATGATGACACTGTAGTGTACTGTAGTTACAGTGTCCCTGTTTGCATAATTTATGCTCCTTGAAAGTCCAACTGTGTTCCTTGGATTTTGGGCCCCTCTCTGCATGCAGGCTGTGAAAAAGGTCTAATACATGTGGTATCCCTATACTTAGGAGGAACAATAGAATGTGTTTTGGGGTGTAATTATAAGTATGCTGATCCTGTGTGTGAGAGAAATAACTTGTTAAATGACAACTTTTTCTGGGGAAAAAAAAATAATTTCCTCACTAAAAAAAAATTTACAAAAAATTAAAACTTCAAAAAACTCACCATGCCTCTTACTTGAGGTGTCTGCTTTTCAAAAAGGGGTTATTTTGGGGGTATTTGTGCTGTCATGGCATTTTAGGGCCTCAGGAGATTAGATGAAATGAGGCCAGTACATTAGGATTGATCAATTTTCAAATATACTGTATTTACCATAGCTTTTGGACTCTATAACTTTCACACAGACTAAATATTATACACTGCTTTGGGTTATTTTTACCAAAGAAATATAGCAGAATACATTTTGGTCTAAATTTATGAAGAAAGATTATTTATTTGCAAAATTTTTTAACAGAAACTAAGAAAAACTTTGGAGACAGTGTTCCATGACCGAGTAATTTTCATTCAAAGTGTGACAGCTCTAAAATCTGAAAATTGGCCTGGGCAGGAAACGGGTGAAAGTGTCTGGCATTGAAGTGGTTAAAATTGGCTATGTCTGTATGGAATAAATTTAAATGATGGATATCCTTTTAGAATCTCCCATATAATTTGTATTTTTGGAGCGACAATGCATTATAGCAATTATATGGTATTAGAACAATTACGAATATGAATTGTTCCACAATTTCATCAATAGCCTGTCATATGCTTTAGAAACACAATTAAACACGATGTACCAAAGGGCTAATATCCACTTCATTTATTAATAATAAACCACATGTATGTCATGATGACTCACATAAGACTATCAATGTTTCCATTTTTCCTTTGATCTTATATGCTGAATGAATGAATGAGAACGTCATACACTAAATGTCTCACATTCTAGATGATTCTGTATAATTTCTAATTTTGTGCCACTATTTGAGAACAATAAGCAGTTAAATAATTATATAAATCGGTTATTAACATCTCTTGTCCCTATATTAAACCTTTTTTTAGTATTTCAGTCTACATTTTACACTGCTCCACCTTTACAGTATATTCTGTATTAAAGTGGATAGAATAAGGGAGTAATATAACCCCTGTAAGGCTTATTTTTATCATTTGTATCCAATTAGGGAGATTTCCCTGCACTTCCTGTCCCATGGCCAAAACAGGACGTGAGAGAAAATCCCTCCAAAGGGAGGAAATCCCTTGTTATCACTAGGGTTACCAGAACTAGTGCCCTTACCCACATGGAAGAAAAATATATTTTAAATATATTTTAAAAATATTCTTCCCAAATATATTGACACATATTTGAAATACAAACATTTTGGCCATATTCAACATATTTATTTACATATATATATATATATATATATATATATATATAAAATATATATATAGATATATATATATATATCTATATATATGTGTCTGTGTACATATGGATAGATAAATAGACTTTTTTATATGTTAAAAAAAATCTGGAGTATATTTTTAAAAAATCTATATTTTTTTTAAATATATTGAATACTGCCAAAGTTTTAGTATTTCAAATATATGTCAATATATTTCAGAAGAATATTTTTAAAATATATTTAAAATATATTTTTCTTTCATGTGGGTATTGGAAGATGTCCCCACTATTCCTGTTCCGGGGACAACCTAAAGTTTGGTATTTTCCTTTACTTTTGCTGACAAGGGGACACAGAGAGATATTATACTCTTTCACCATTCTATCAAAAACCAAAACGTTTTGCTTTAGTATATACTTTAAAGACTAAGTACACCATTTTGCAGAAATAAATGTGCATTTTTGTATTTTTTTCCTGTAGGAACCTGCAAAGCATTGAACCCATGATCAGTGGATCATGAGTGCAATGTCAGGCTGCTGTAGACAAGCCCTACAGCTTTCAGTCTGTACCTATGTACAGGTGTGGTTGGGGCTTAAGACGCCAGAGTAGGGACACTGTAGAACTGCACTCGGTTATGTGAAATTAACATAAAGGTGGTACTCAGGACCAGGGTCGGACTGACCATTTGGAAACTCGGGCACTGCCCGAGGGCCCGGTGTCAGTAGAGGGCCCCATGAGATGCCCCTGGTACCTTTTTCATAGGCTTTTTTGAGTTTGGGCAAGGACACAGGGGCCCCATGATCCCCTATTGCCTGGGGGCCCCATGAGCTGTCAGTCCACCCCTGCTCAGGACCTAGAAGCAAATAGGCAACTTACAAAGTTAACACTTTGTAGTCTGTGGCCATACTTCTTGAAACTAATGTATTTCTGATACATCTTCTGTTAGAGACCACCTCTCCCTCCAGGTGTGCAGCATTTCTGAGCCGATAACATGGAGCATATACCCGTCTCCACCGACTCAGCAGGCCCATCACCTTACTCCTAGTGACAATGTTCTGTATGTCACTAATAGATGCAGGAAGCACACTTCTCCATAACTCCATGCTTGTTCTTCTCTCGGGGACCCTTCTACATCTCTTTCCATGACTCCAAAGTAGATTCCTAAGTACTCTGTGGCATAAAGTTGGCCCCAGTATGTGGGAACCAGTCAATAGTGAAGGGGCCAAGCGTAACACCCATTGACTACCAGAGCATCCATCACTCTTGCCTTGATTCCTCACTGGTTGGCTGATTTAGCATGACACAAATACAGTAGTCCTTAACAACAGCAACATATCCTCCTCAGGACAGCTTCTTTGCTCATTAGACTTCTGTACTGTATATTTTCTAACTTCTCTAGTACCCTGTTGTAAGCCCTGTTCTCTTGATATGCCTTTCATGCACCCCTTTAGAGACATCAGACCAGGCAGATAAAATGAACTATAAAGATCTTGTACTAACGTAGTCGAAAGAAACAAATAATCAGTTCTGAAAGACATCTTCCACACATCTTCCTGTACAAAATTCTCTAGGTGCCCTGAAGTAATGCCCCATGTGGTAATTATAACTGAATTAGGCAGCAAGTCCATAAACGAGTCCTTTTCAATGCAAACGTCCATAACTGGCAGTGGACCACATGAGGTAGCAATAATCCATAAATAGGGTCCAGTTAAGGCAGCATAAGGCTATACAGATCCACAGGCTCCATACCTCACTTAGAACCCTGACTAAGCTACCCCCAAAGGGTGGTACATCCCAACAGCATAGCAGCTACATCTTAGCAATCTTTCCCCTAGCTCCCCAAGGGCACTAATGAGCACCTATTTACATGGTATGACCTGAAGGGAGTGGTAAATACCCTAAAAAGAGTGGGAACCTGGTCAACAGCATTAACACTTCCTTCTCAGAAACCACCAGCTCAATGGGTCAACCCAGGACAATGCAATAAACCTACATTGTAGCAAATGATGTACACACATAAACATAGTTGAAATAACCAAACCAGGGCATAGACACAGCAGAACCTTTTGGAAGCAGCTGCTTACATGGGCTGCCAGTTTGAAAGCTGCAAGGTTTGTGAACAAGCTATGAGTATGCTTATCAGGTCCTGGCAGTTCATTGAGAACCACAAGCCTTCTGCCAAGGTGTTATTTGTAGCCTTAATAGTAAAGCTTTAAAATGTATTGGCTATTTATTTTTTACTCTCATGGTAAATAACATTTGAACTGGAATGTCAATCATCGGTCTGGTGCTCTCTTCATTCTACCATAGTTATTATTGTCATTTCTGGGACCTCCTCTTTGGACCCATTGAATCTCAGTCTCTTAACTTAAATATCAACTGATCTAAATACACTATATTGCCAAAAGTATTGGAGAGACTACCTTTAAATGCAAATTAACTTTAATGGCATCCCAGTCTTAGACTGTAGGGTACAATATTGGGTTGGCCCACCCTTTGCAGTTATAACAGCTTCAACTCTTCTGGGAAGGCTGTCCACAAGGTTTAGGAGTGTGTCTATAGGAATGTTTGACCATTCTTCCAGAAGCGCATTTGTGAGGCCAGGCACTGATGTTGGATGAGAAGGCCTGGCTTGCAGTCTCCACGTCTAATTCATCCCAAAGGTCTTCTATTGGGATGAAGTCAGGACTCTGTGCAGGCCAGTCAAGTTCCTCCACCCCAAACTTGCTCATCCATGTCTTTATGGGCCTTGCTTTGTGCACTGGTGCGTAGTCATGTTGGAACAGGAAGGGGCCATCCCCAAACTGTTCCCACAAAGTTGGGAGCATGAAATTGTCCAAAATGTCTTGGTATGCTGACGCCTTAAGAGTTCCCTTCACTGGAAGTAGGGGGCCAAGCCCAACCCCTGAAAAACAACCCCACACCATAATCCCCCCTCCACCAAACTTTACACTTGACACAATGCAGTCAGGCAAGTGCTGTTTTCCTGGCAACTACCAAACCCAGACACATCCATCAGATTGCCAAGACAGAGACTCATGAGTCACTCTACAGAACACGTCTCCACTGCTCTAGAGTCCAGTGGCGGCATGCTTTACACCACTGCATCCAATGCTTTGCATGTAAGTCTGGCTTGGATGCAGCTGCTTGGCTATGGAAACCCATTCCATGAAGTTCTCTAATCTGAAGGTCATGTGATGTTTGTAGATCTTTAGCTATTGACTCTGCAGACAGTTGGCAACTTCTGCGCACTGTGCGCTTTAGCATGCGCTGACCCTGCTCTGTTATTTTACGTGGCCTACCACTTGATGGCTGAGTTGCTGTTGTTCCCAGTTGTTTCCACTTTGTTATAATGCCACTAACAGTTGAGCGTGGAATATTTAGTAGCAAGAAAATTTCATGGATGGACTTATTGCACACATGGCAACCTATCATGATACCACGCTTGAACTCACTGAGCTCCGGGGAGAGACCCATTGTTTCACAAATGTTTTTAGAAGCAGTCTGCATGCCTAGGGGCTTGATTTTTTTATACACCTGTGGCCATGAAGGTGATTGGAACACCTGAATGCAATGATTTGGAGGGCTGGCCCAATACCTTTGGCAATATAGTGTATCTGCCAAAATTCTGATCCAGCACTCTTTGGGCTAACAAATATTACTGCCTAGAAGCTGGAATAGGTAGGAATACTCTCTGATAGTACACAAAAGACTCTTTTAGATACAAAATGACTTAACCCTTTTCTGCTGGATCAATTTGTTTCATTCATGGCAAAATGTACGTTTTTTTAATCTGAAAAGTAACACACATTTGCTTTTGCACTGGTAAAGGCAGAGGGTCAGAAAACATTTACTTACTGAAGATAATTATCCAAGAATTTCAAGAAGATTGTCTTCCAAATGAGTTGCTGCTTCATTTCTTTAACCCCCTCACATATTTCTGCAGGGTATTTACTATAAAAATTCTGTAGTATACTATTAACAGCAAAAGCCCTCCAACCATCTGCAACAGGCCAGGTTCATCCTCTGGGCATGCATTTTGCGTGATCCTAATTTATTTTATTGTATGTCTTTAAGCTGGGGTGTGGTGGGACTCTGGCCTGAGTGCCTTGTATAAGAGTAGTGTTACATACTGTACCTTTTTCATAATCAGTGTTATTGAGATCAATAATAGACATGTGAAATTCATTTTGTTACGGATTGAAATTCAGACAAAATCTTTGTTATTTGGAAATTCGGATGTATCTGAATCTCCGAATCACAATAGTAACAAATTTCATTGGTGTTCATTTGTTTGCAACTTCAGAAGGTTTTGTAAGTTCAGTAATATTGTCACCCTCTGTTATGATTGCAAGCAAGTGTCATCAACGTAATAACATAACAAAAGAATCTGAATCTTCCGATATAACTTACGAAAATACAAATCAATTCAGAACAACAAATATATGAAACGAATCTGCATATACAAAACAAATTCTGAAAGAATAATTCCAACATAACGAATATGACAAAACGAAATGACTGACTTAACAAATGAATCTGAAACAAAACAAATCCTTTTTTTCGTGCACATCTCTAATCAATACTCCAAAAGGAATTGGCAAATACCCCATACTGAAAGGCAGATCTGCTACTATTACGTGGCACTGTTTTTCGCAGTTCTAGAAGAAGCCTACAATATCACCAGTTGCATCATTTAATTATTTGAAGTCTTTTTTCTCGGCTTTTGAATGCTGGTAGGAAGCTGCCAACTTTTCAGCCTGATCCTTTTACAGTGGAAAATATGTGCATTCTCACTTGCTTTGCCCTTCCTATGGCTTCTCTTTTATCTTTCAAAATGGCCTGTTATTTTTTTTAGTATAGCATTGTCGTCCTCATACAAAGACACTGAAAACTGGTAGTCAAAAAAGTCTCAAAAATCAATTTTCAATCTAAAGCACTGAAGGGTCTACAGAACAATGTTTTCTCCCAACATTCACCAAACTTTTTACCATCAATTCACACATCATTTTTACTGAATATTATGTTTAAAAAGTCAGTGAGTCTTGAATAAATGTTTTGTAAATCTTGGGTGGGAAACTACGGCAAATATTCAACTTAACTTACCCCCTTTGGTTGTATTTACAGGTGAAACTCGAAAAATTAGAATATCGTGCAAAAGTTCATTTATTTCAGTAATGCAACTTAAAAGGTGAAACTAATATATGAGATAGACTCATTACATGCAAGGCAAGATAGTTCAAGCCGTGATTTGTCATAATTGTGATGATTATGGCTTACAGCTCATGAAAACCCCAAATCCACAATCACAGAAAATTAGAATATTACATGCAATCAATAAATCAAGGATTGTACATAGAATAATATCGGACCTCTGAAAAGTATAAGCATGCATATGTACTCAGTACTTGGTTTGGGCCCCTTTTGCAGCAATTACTGCCTCAATACGGCGTGGCATGGAAACTATCAGCCTGTGGTACTGCTGAGGTGTTATGGAAGACCAGGATGCTTCAATAGCGGCCTTCAGCTCTTCTGCATTGTTTGGTCTCATGTCTCTCATCTTTCTCTTGGCAATGCCCCATAGATTCTCTATGGGGTCCAGGTCAGGCGAGTTTGCTAGCCAATCAAGCACAGTAATCCCACGGTCATTGAACCAGGTTTTGGTGCTTTTGGCAGTGTGGGCAGGTGCCAAGTCCTGCTGGAAAATGAAGTCAGCATCCCCATAAAGCTCTTCTGAGGAAGGAAGCATGAAGTGCTCCAAAATCTCTGGGTAGACGGCTGCGTTGACCCTGGACTTAATGTAGCACAGTGGACCAACACCAGCAGATGACATGGCTCCCCAAATCAACACAGACTGTGGAAACTTCACACTGGACTTCAAGCATCTTGCAGTGTGTGCCTCTCCATTCTTCCTCCATACTCTGGGTCCTTGGTTTCCAAATGAGATACAAAAGTTGCTCTCATCAGAAAAGAGGACTTTGGACCACTGAGCAACAGACCAGGTCTGTTTTTCTTTAGCCCAGGTAAGACGCTTCTGATGTTGTTTGTTGTTCAGGAGCGGCTTGACAAGAGGAATACGACATTTGAAGCCCATGTCCAGGATCCGTCTGTGTGTAGTGGCTCTTGATGCACTGACTCCAGCCTCAGTCCACTCCTTGTTAAAGTCCCCAACACTTTTGAATGGCCTTTTCCTGACAATCTTCTCCAGGCTGTGGTCATCTCTGCTGCTTGTGCACCTTTTTCTTCCACACTTTTCCCTTCCACATAACTTTCTATTAATGTGCTTTGATACAGCACTTTGGGAACATCCAACTTCTTTTGCAATTACCTTTTGAGGCTTTCCCTCCTTATGGAGGGTGTCAATGATGGTTTTCTGCTCAACTGTCAGGTCAGCAGTCTTTCCCATGATTGCGATTCCTACTAAACCAGACCATTTAAAGGCTCAGGAACCCTTTGCAGGTGTTATGGCTTAATTAGCTGATTAGATTGGGACACTTTGAGCCTAGAATATTGCACCTCTTCACAATATTCTAATTTTCTGAGATTGTGGATTTGGGGTTTTCATGAGCTGTAAGCCATAATCATCACAATTATGACAAATCACTGCTTGAACTATCTTGCTTTGCATGTAAAGAGTCTATCTCATATATTAGTTTCACCTTTTAAGTTGCATTACTGAAATAAATGAACTTTTGCACAATATTCTAATTTTTCGAGTTTCACCTGTATTTCACAAGAAGAGCCCCCCTGTTGGGAGGGGAGGAATCTCTTGACATGCTAAGTTACACTGGTATCCCCAAACCAGGCAACCATAGTGCAGAATGTACAATATATGGTACATTTAAACATTGCAACAATTTTCAAATTTCCTTACAAACAGATCATAAAATAATTCATATGTAAACTCACAGGATTAAAGTGACAATAAACTACATCCTTATTCTTCAAATATAATCCATGCACATCTACTACTTAATGGTCCCTTTTGTGTATTTTGTTTATAAAATTGTTTCTTAGTGCTTTTGTGCCTCCTTGTATTGCCCTCCTTAAGCTCCCGAACCTCTCACTTCCGTTTGTTTGTAATGAACAGTGCATGTTAGTTGCTGTCATATGCACTGCTCTATGCACACTACACATTACATAGTCCATAGTCCATCTTGACACTAAGCAAAAGAGGGTGACTATGTTCCTAAATACACTGAACCATGGAAAATGAATGTAGCCACCCTCTAAAAAAAAATGTGGGGTCACAACAGCAAAAAAAAAAAAAAAAATAATAATTTGGAGATTTGGAAGATGCTGAGAGCAAAAGAAGGTACTTTTTGGATTAATAATATATAGTTATACCTCAATATAAAAATTTTATTTTAAACAAGAGTTTAGTGTCCTTTTTAGGGTTAGTTCTTTTTTTTAATGGGAAATGACTGCCTTTGCATCAACTGAATTTCTTTATTGTGTTGCTGGAAAAGAAAAACTCAGCAACTGTGTTCTTTGGCTATTTTGGTATAGTTCACAGGCAATTAACCTCGAGGCTGAAGAAAAGCTTACTTTGCTAATCTTGGTACAAAAAGGGTTAAGTGCAAGTGATAAAAGTCCCTTTTGTCACTGCATCACTGGTGATAAATGACTGCCCCTGTGAGTAAGACCCAGTGTATTTGCTGACAGTGCATTCAGCCTCGCGGTAGGAGAACAGGGAGTCTTCTAGCTGAGAATGAGAAGAATATATTTCTGTTAGGATGAACAAAACATTAAAAAAGATGGCTGTCTAACAGTAAAAAAGATGGCTGCTTTGTCAAAAAGGTGTTATATGTTAGAAGCGCTTTCTGCCAAAATTGTATTCACTACAAGCTTGATTAATCCTTCCAAAAAAATTCACTGAAGGCAAATATCAGTGTGAAGATTTGGGTAATACAGTGGCTAAGTGATTAACACTCCTGCCTAGCAGCCCTAGCACCACTGAATCCCAGCCACTGAGCTACCTGTCTGGAGTTTGCATGTTCTCCTTGTGCCTGTGTGGGTTTCCTTTGGGTACTCTGGTTTCCTCCCACACTGCAAAAACATGCTGGCAGGTTAATTGGCTCCTGTCTAAATTGGCCCTAGTATGTGTATGAATGTGAGTTAGGGACCTTAGATTGTAAGCTCCTTAAGGGAAGGGATGGATGTGAATATAGAATATATATACTGTATGTGTAAAGACCTGCATAATTTGATGGTGCTATATGCGTACTGTAAAATAAATAAGATTGCTGGGAACTGAATTAAGTCAATAAAGGTTTCCAGGCAAGCTATCTCCAAACAAATAGCATGGGAATCTATGACCAACAACAAATCTCCTGTGCTTGGGAGTGGGCTCAAGAAACGCACGTATGGTTATGGCTCCATCCTTGCTTGCACGGATAGTCCTTGCCTTGCTGCCCTCAAAGGACTG